GCGGGCCAAATGTAATTAGGCTGCGGGCCAAATTTGGCCCACGGGCCAGAGTTTGACACCTATGCTGTAAGCCTTCTGATCACTTAAACTGTATACTATATGGATTCACAGTAGAATCCAAACTTTCCAAGGCTTAAGGCGACGCTTCAGGTGAGAAAACACTCAGACAAATCCCATTTTTCCCCCACTGGGTTGTGCATCGTGAGCTGGTTCCCCAGGGTGAGACTGTTAATGTGGACTTTTACTGTCCTGTCCTGAGGCGCCTGACAGAGAAACTTCAGAAAACTGGAACTGCCACTGTGTGCTGGTTCACAGCGGAGAAAACAGAGGAGTTTGTTGGCTGCACAAACACAACCCGGATCACTAGATTGCCAAATTTGCCTCCCTTCATCTAGATCCCGAAACATTCCCATTTTGACACTCTAAAGAGGAAGAATACATAAGAAGCACTTCCTATGAGAGAGCCAAAAATAGCATTCCCACTTGAAAGCAGTTCAGAAGTGAACAAGACGGTGACCTTCAAAGTGGCACTGGCCAAATTTACAGCAGGTCAGGCTTGTGATTCGTGTGCAGCTTCCTCTCTGAAGCTTTTGTACACAGCTGTACAGATTTCAGTTTCTTGTGCAGGTCTGAGTTTGGCCCCAAAACAATATGAACATTTGTAAAGAAGGACTAAGTGAATACCAGGTTGTGATCTAGTTCAAGCTTTGCTGTGGACTGATTTTTTTTCAAACGTTTGATATAGCGAGCACAGTCGACGCACAGGCAGAAATGGTGGAACCGAATAAACAAAACAGAGGCTGAAACTCACGAGTTAGTTTTACAATTAATGTCGACGGTCAGATTTCTGCTCTACAGTCAGCAACAAGCTGCCGTTGAGACGAAATGATGTGAAGATGGAGAACAATTACACTCAGTCTGTTACCGTTTACACGGGGAAATAATGCCTCCAAACATCACTTAAGAGAAGGTGAAAGTGAGAGAATTTTATTATACTTTGATATTCAGTCAACAAATCAAGTGATCAGAGCTGAAAGCAGCTGGAAATGGAAGATATGGTGCAGCTATAATTTACTAGCTCAGTTTGTTTCTATGGACGCCTGCAGAAACTGAAATGTTTGACTACACAAATGACACACAGTCCTTTAAATGGGTTTTGGTTAAAATGCTCTTTTGTTTTTTAGTAGGGCACATTACTATTACATAAACAGAGGGAATCCATAAATGTCATTTTACTTAGAACATGAAAGCTGCAATATT